ATTAAAAAAAAATTACATTTTAAATTTTTAAATTTAAATAAAACAATAAATATGGGCGGGTTTTATTAATTTTTTTTTTTTTTTGTTTATGAAACCTTATAATTTTATAATTTTTTTACTGATTTACTGATTTATTGATATTTTTAATATTTTTTACTTCGTTAGTACGTATCTTTTTGTTCAATAATCGTTTGTTATTTTTCGAGAAATCACGTGATACTTTCAGCTAATCCCGAAATCGTATCACGTGATTTGCTCCCGCTTTAGACGACCCCCAAAAAAGGCAATTTTATTTTTCAGTAAAATTCAAGTTTTTGTTACACAAAACTTCCAAAAAAGGATATTTATTTGACGATCTTTTAATTCCGGCCGGAATTATAAAATCACGTGACACTGGCGATGCATCGGCTTGCATCGCCATGGTGATAAAAAATAAAACCCATAATATAAATATACAAAAAAATTATAAATTTTCAGTAAAAAATTGGTAATACATCATTTTAATATTTGTGCGATATTGAAAATATATTGTATTGAATCCTTAACGATTTTAATGTGATATCTTCAGGATTCGTATAATAATGTAATGATAATGTTGTAACGATAACTGTGATGTGCCGTTATTTTTACCGTTACTTAATGGTAACTGTCTCGTGGCGCATCAACGTAGGAATATAAACCATTATAATATTGGTGTTTTATCGATACCTTATCAATATCATATTGACATTGGAAAAAATTTTATAGTTTCTGCAAAGTATCGCTAATACTGTGCTATTTATCACAGAATTTTTTATCACGTTTCAGGTCAAGAAAAAATATTTTTGTCATACATAATCATGCATATTTTGACCGGGTCAAGAAAGTAATACGAGGAGGGTCAAGAAAGTAATTTTTGCCCCTAAGGTATCAGTTTTTCGGGTAATGAAGTATCCACCAATGGTTTCTCAACATGGGTACCTGATCTGCAACCAAATTGAACTGTTGCTAGAAAATTATTTTCCTTTGGGTTATTTAGCATCTGTCTCTGTTCCACTTTCGTAATTCTATCTCTAAACTCATTCTCAGATTCTAACTCCTCGATTCTGGCCTTGAGTTTGGTATTCTCAGCATCACGCCTCTTATTTTCTTCCACACCCTGTTTTAGAAGCTCGGCAATCCTGGCCTTATGTTCAGCTCTCTCAACCCCAATCTCAGTGAACTTCTAAGTTCAGGGATTTCAGTATTCTTATCCTTAAGCTCATCATTCTCAATCTTAATTTCAGAAAACTTCTTGTTAAGAGCTTGGCATTTAATTCCTTTAATGAATCATTGGATTGCACGTTCGATAATATTTTATTTATAAAAGATGGAATAATTCAATAGTTCGTTAGCATAGATAAAAAAACGAGGTAATATCCCCATCGGAATTACTGATTTATTGATGTAAAAAATAAACTACAAGATTCGGTAATGCACAAACTTGTTCTACAAAGTGAAGTAGAGTTTCTATACTAATGCTCGCCAGTATTTCGTTCATCTAAGCTATCTATATACTAACACAGCATCATATTAATTCTAATCTGACTTCATTTGTTTCCAACATCGGTATTCTGGATAAAATAAATGGTCGTCAGTTATGCATAGAACTTGCAGAGTCAGAAATAAATTAACAATATTGGCCTCAGTAAAACTCACCGAAGGTTTATATTCTCTGCTTAATAAGGTCCTCGAAATTTCTGAACAAAAAAATAGATATTAGCTTTGCAAGCTATGAATCACTCACTCCCTTGCAAATGCACAGTCACAACCAAAAAAATATTTCATTCGTACCTTAATTGCGAAGTGTTTCGTCCAGACTTCAATAATTTTTTTGTCAGCACTTCTTAAACTGCGATAGATCGGTTTAGTTCATGCTCAGAGAAAATAGCACGACGTCAAAAAAAAGCATACGTAAAATCTGCTTATTAAGAAAACGCCCAGATTTAATTTAGTTATCGTTATGACATATTAATTGTTGTTGTACAACCGAAGAATTAATAAATACCTCGTGAGTGCAATCTGAGAAAAAAATCGTATGAATCACCCTGCCGATAAGTAAACTTTTTTTATATCATTTATATCATTTATATCATCATATCATATTTCGTGTTACCAATTAATAGTCATCTTATAATTAATCATGATGTATTCAGAAGTATATATATACCTTCAAGGCTTCAACGCTCTCTCAAATTTCTCTAAACTTCGTTTAAAACTAATAAAAATATCATTTATAATTTTTACAGAAAAATACCTTCAAAATGATTTTCTCCTTAAATTGTCTATTTCTTCTATCCGATCTATTCCAGTTATTATTAGTGAGGAAACTACCGTTGGTTATAGTAGAATCAAATATGAAGATATTACAGTTTCACACGTCAAGTTACTTTTTTTGTATGGAAAAAAAATTAGTTATCCTCTTGACCATCTGAATCTTTGGAAGGTTGATCCTGTTAGTGCTAACAAGTACGACAAGGAGCTTGAAAAATTTTCTACCGAAGATGACATTAAAGAAAAACTTGGAGGAGAATTGATGAACCCTCAATTTCCTCTTAGTAAATATTTCAATAGGAATAGTTTTAAAGATATGGAAAGCAAGTTTGCCATTCACATCATCGTGATCGACACCAATGGTAAGTATCTCCCAACGTTTTACCAATCGAACAAGATATAGATTATATCATTTACATTCATCCAAGGAAATTATTGAGGTTATTAAGAAGAATGCATTAAAGGGTTTACCTAGATTGCCTGATGTATTAAGCATGCCATTACAACAACGTAACTTCGAAGAGGCAATGTGTTATGTAAAAGAGACAATATACAATAATATTACGGGCCGAGATGGAAAATCGAACTACTGGTGTATTGTCAGTGGAGGAGCCCCGGGGATAGGTATTGTTTCTTTGTACTTTTCCTAGTAAACAATTTGTATCAGTTACTCACTATCTTATAAATAGGTTAAACTCGATTTGGGCAGGAGCTTTTTAATCAAGTCAGAAAAGACATGCCTCAGTATATTCAGAATATTTACAATCATCGTAATATTCCTCATGACAGAAGAAGAACTGACACACATCTTGAATACTTATGTATTGACTTCAGAAATGGTCACAGACTCACTCAACAAGATTATGGCATAGATGCATCAATAATTGTCGGCTTACAAATTGCGCATGCATTTTTTATTGAAAAAGAATATGGAATGACGTTTCAAGAATTCCGCATCGCACTTGAACAATATAGGGACAGCTTTAATAATTTTCATTTTAATGTTGTTATCGGAGAAATTCGCAAATCCCTAAATCTGTCCGATAAACACTTATTTTTCCTATATCTTCATATTGATGAATTTCAACTTATTGATTCATGGGATAAAGAAGATAAGTCGAATCCACCAACAAAACTCTTCTATAATATGATCCATAATATTGCGGAATTTATGCTTAATTCCGCTTTACCCACCTTTGTCCAACCATTCCTTTCAGGAACCGCTCCACTGGCTGTCATTAAAATAAAAGAAGCTCCAAGAATTTCATTCCGGTTTGTTGATTGTCCATTATTGAACGATAAATCCATTATTCGGATTATGGATCATTTTGCAGAAAAATTCAATGCAGGAATTGCAAACTATGCATATAAGTGGAAATATTGTCGCCAAATGCTTCAGCTTCTGAGGGATACCGGTGGGTTGCCACGCGCACTTCAACGACTCTTTATCGTCTGCTTTGGAGCAGATGGTAAACAGGGGAGAAAATTCTTCGAGAAACTTGAAAGTAAAGAACTTGACTTTGTGGACTATTTCATCAAAGTCAAGAACAGTCTCGATAAACAGTATGGCATAAAAGACTATGTTAAAAGCAACGGAAAAGTTGCTATGAAGCTCATGTATTATTGCATTGAAGGTATTGCCATTGCCTCTGATGAATGTTTGGATGATAATAATCCAGATCTTACAATTAGAAGCCTAGAACGTGATAAACATATTATTCTCTCCCCTGCTGAACAATCTGCCGGATACAATTTTTTCCTTATTAATATGCCCTTCTATTTTATCTGTTTATATAATGACGTTCTGTGTATTGTTAAACCTACATTTGTAAGAAAGTTCTATGATGAGCGCATGTATTGGGAAGAATGGGAGGTGTTTGTGGCATACCATGAAGCATTTCGTACTAATCTGGCGATAAGAATGGGAAAGACTACAATGACTTTACGAGAATTATATCCCAATGCTGATAAGTCGGATGTTTACTTTGATATGAGCGTAAAATTGAAACCCCTTTGTGTATGTGAAGCAAATGAACAATTTCCGCTTACTAATCCATTAACAGAAAAACCTGATGGTAAAATAATCGACTGGCAGAGTGGTGGTGTAGTAGTAAGTAGTTATCAATGGTAGTAGTGCTCCGTTTGACGTGTTTTTTGTCAGAGAACCTGAGCATATTGACGATTATAAATTCCTAATTATGAACCAGTGCAAATGGGATTACGGTTCAAAAAAGATGCCCGAAAGTAAAGTTGAAGAAGATGATAAGAAAAATCTAAAGAATTTTTTTTATGATGGTAATGATTATATGCCTATTACAATTATTTTTACTTCGCAATCATATATTAAGAAAAAGCAAGAATCAGGTGTTTTGGTAGTTTCAAAAGAAGATTTTAAAAAACACTTTGGACCCATTTTTTCCTCTCGGGCATCATTTGCCTTTACCGGAGATACAAATCCCAACTTCTGGGAAAAAAATAGGTTGGAAAATGTTCTTGACGGTATTTGCGATGCCTCGATTGGTAATGTAATCAAAAAACGGCCGTATTATAGCGATGATGATTATTATAATAAAAATCCAGGGGCTAAAAAAATACGAAAAATGGATCATTTCCCATTTGACGTGTCAGAAATTTTACTTATCGAAAACTGATGATTGGTGTGAACCAACAACTCCAACAAATGAGAATGATGCAATGACAAACGCACGCGCGGGTTACTACCAAAGGGTTCATATTTAATAGTAATCATGTACATCTTGTATATTAAATTATTAAAAAATAAATTTATTGATTTATAAATGTTAATTTAAACCCGTGACATTTTGTCAAAATCTTTTTTATTCATTATATTATAGTATATAACAGTCGATGTGCATGTCACAAAATTAGAGGGCAAATTTTTTGTACTATGATATCATAATTTAAATTTCATACATAGCATAGTCTTTGGGTATATAGTATATATGTAAAGTTCTAAACTATCTAAAGTTTTCTTTTTTGTTTAAAATTACCGATCTTTAAATCATAATTTTGGCCCAAATTTTCTTAACTCTGGTCAAAATTTATAGTGCCGGCCTAAAATTTAAAAATACGCTAATTTTAAATCTTTTGTACTACAAAAATCTGAGTGCATTTCCCGATAGATGAGATCAAAAATTATCATTTTCAAGTATTTTTAATTTTATACTTTTTGTCAAAGAAAAGAATCAAAACCACCTAAATTCTGTAATAAAACTTTTACAATTTCAATATGAACAGCTTTTCAAAGTCTATAGACGATAATAATATTTTATTTGAGCAATTTTTAGGTAATAACAATTCAGAACGAACGGCGGAATTAAGGATTTGGGTCACGTGACGTTTAATCAGCTGAGTGTGACGTTCCAGTTAAGATCAAACCGTTCAAATAAAAAAGATCAAATATCATATCAAAAATTCAAAATTTCTATTACAATATTTGCTTTTTCAACCTGAAAATAATAAATACATCCTAAAAAATGAAGGAAAAATATTATAGTTGGTTTATTAAAAAAAAAAAGAAAATTCATAATATTTAACACTAAAAAATAATAAATTATTTAAAAATAAATACAAATAGATTTAACTAAATATTTTATTAATTCATAATTTAATCTGTTACAATTAAATAATTTAATAAATTGCACTTAAAACTATTAATTATGATTTTTTAAATATTTCTATTGAGTAATGTATTTTTTTTCCCACAGAATGTTAAAAAAACTTTCAAATAATAATAAAGAGAGCTACTGCAGCTACTGCTTGTATATAAAGTAGAAAAACTACTCTATATGCTTTCAAAGCTATTTAGCTTACCTAACTTAAAAAACTGATGGAGAGTTTGCGAAAGAAAAAAATATTTTTATCATTATAAATAAATTAAATTTATATCACCCGGCCTTGTAATACAATGTGATTTGATTTGTGAAACGTAATTTTATATTTCAAGTTGTAGTAACTCGTAAATTTTGTAAAATATCCTAATTTTGTTAATTCTGAAAATGAGAAGAGCTAGAATATGATAAAACATTTTTAGAACAATTAATAAACCAAAATTCAATATTATTAAACGCTGAAAACATTGAATCAAACAAACAATCTAATATTTTTCACATCAAAAATTTTTTGCAGGCACATGAAACTGTTCAAAGTGAAGAAATAAATGAATATAATTCAAGTAGTGATGATGAAATTGACGATGATAATGAGCAAAATTTAAAAAATGAATCTGAATTATATGAAAATGAAATATACATTATAGACGAAATGTCAACTTCACTTTCACCATGTGCTATTGTTGACATAATTGATGGAAAATTACAAATATGCAGTAATGATAGTTAAGATGCAGTTTTCAATTAATAGGAACTTGGAAATCGATACAAGTATTGTGGCTAAATTTTTGGATGAAAAGGTTAATTTTGTTGCATTTTAATTTTGATCAAAAAAATCATATGAGTCGTACCAAACAAATAAGAAAAACGGAAAAAAGTATAATACATCGAAGAAGGTGTTTTTCATCAGGAATTTTATTAGGGTGTAGTACTTCGCAATTCTAATGATTTGTATAATTTACAAAATATTACACAGTAGTCTTACGTAATATTTACGACTTTATTAAAGTGCTTCAGAGGGTTTACATGAACATAATATTATGTAATACTTTACTAAAATATTTCGTAAGTTGATGCTAATGTAAATGAAGCATTCCAATATATATTATTTACAAAATACTAATGGTGCAAAAAACTCTGAAATACAATATTTACAAAAATACTATGCGCATAAAACTTTGAAATACAATATTTGCAAAATACAATTGTCGTTATAATGAGATTTGTTATGTTTTATATAACGATATCAAAGGAATCCAGAAAATGGTATGTCATTATACAATAATATGTCATTATAACGAGATGTGTTGTATAACGGACGGAAATTGTAACAATTTTATAACTATTACCGTATTTGAAATCTTGTGAACAAATAAGTTTCGGTTAAAAGACATATTCTATGTTTATTTCGTAATGTTGCTGTTGTACTTTATTATTAATAGCCTACATCTATACTCTTCTATAATTAACAAGATGAGGACACATGATCGGAAAAAAGTTTAATAAAATAAATGTATCACATTATTGATCGTGGGAACATCACAATTGTGTAACATATTACGCAGAAATATTTGCTAAGTTACTTTATAATCGGTTTTACGAGATGCCGATCATCCGACCCATGTAGCCGAGGTGGGTGGAATCGAGAAGAACTAATTCATTGTTTATTTTGTCTTTATTGAACCCCTGATCCGACTTGATATGTTTAACTCCCGAGTTACCCAGGTCAATTCATAAAAATCTTCTACAGTACATATATTTAAATTAAATAATTGGATTATTAGCTCTAAATGACGCTATTAACAAATATATAATTATTTTCTAAAAGTAGTACTATAGACTTTTCATAACCCAAGTCTGGCCGAACTTTTTCGAGACACTAGTCAATCGCATATACATTCGTTCTTACAACCGTACTGTATTATCATCACATAATTTCAGTGGTAATTTTACGTAATCGAAAAACGTCGAAAATGTTAGTAAATATGCCTGTTCCAAGAAAATTAAAAAAAAAATTATTGAGAAAATTAGCTGTCATGTGACCATAAAAAGGAGGGTTGACAGACAATATCTGACGATCTATATCATTTTTGTGAAAATCATTTTTTTGTCCTTGAACATATTTGGAAAACTTTGAAAATAGACAAAGTTTGTAGAACGTAGTAAGCACATGCAAGAATTACGTATAAGAACAAATTAAAAAAATAATTTCAATACCCTAAATATATATTAATTTAGAGTGAGTTTATTTTCATTGCATTTAAATAAAGAAATTAAATTAAGAAATTTGTGCGCTTTTGATTATTAATCAAATACGGAAAATAACGGATAATGTGTAATAATGTAATGAAGCAAAAGCCGAGTAAAAAAATTTTATATCACAAAAAAAAAGCCGATAATCTACTTTTTTAATTAAAATATCAAAAAAGGCCAATGACGTAAATATATAATAGATTAACAATCGCTTTTTCTGAAATAACTTTCTTAAAAAAATAATAAAAGATATGCAAATGTTTGTCATCTGCATTTATAAAGATATAAAGATTAAAAAACCATTATTATTTATAATACCTCAAGATTTGACGATAAAGACCAACTTAAAATGGCGAAATTTGTTGTAACGAATACGATTTTTTTTTTACTATTGTTATCGATATATATTTACGGCAATCGTTAAATATTGGGACATTGTGTACACTATGACAAAAAAAAAGATCGATATATTTTCTTTTAAGGTTTTCACGAAGCTAACTAAAGTTTAGATTCAGGTTTGATTATGTCGAATTTGGTATTATAATAAATTTATTTCGCACGCTGCGCATTTTGTTCACTGCCAAAATCGTCGAACAAGGCTTATAATTTATTTCCGTCAAGTAACGTAACACGAACTTTTACTCACTAGCTTACAGTAACGTAACACAACACAATGTTCGTATCATTATTTGAATGAAACCCATTAAAATGAATAATGTTTCCAATTTAGTTTTCTCATTTGTAAGTGATTTCTGAATACATCACCTATATGATCGTCAAATGTCATTGTCGTCGTTCGTTGAAACTATTTACGGAGGAATAAAGTTATAAAATTACTTTTGGTTGCTTACATCACGGCACGGCGGCAGGGGTCATATGTAATTTTCATAAATAGAAATTTATAATTCTTTTTTTCATTTGTATTAATCTTTTACACGCACACCGAAGAATCAAAATTAATTAATTTAATATGATATTTATTTATCAATAATTAGAGCTTTATTTATTATAAATTTATATCGCTATAAATTTATCACAAACATTTCCTTAAAAAGATGAAATGAAATACAAACAAGAAAATAATTAATCTAATAATTTCCTAAATTCGGATGATTAATGTAGGAATTTTCGTTTTGATGAGAAATACAATCCTCTGCGGTTGACCAGTTACGTTCGAAACCGTCTTGATTAATACCAATCAAAATATCATCCTCAATATTTTCATGAAAAAAATTCAAGGTGTCATCAGAATTTAACATCGCTTCACTATCAGCAGTATGAAATTGCAAAAAATACGAAGGAAGAATTTGCTTCAAGTTTTCTTCGAGGTTTAATTTTTGATACAAAGTTAGCAAATATCTACGTTTCAAATCTTTTACATCAAAATCCATTCCGTAAATTTCTTTATTCAACAAATTTACAATTGAAGAACACGATAATAATTTACATGTAACATGAAATATCGCCGTGGGGTCATGCGAACTTTTAAAAAAGAACTCATAGTCATATTCATCGTCACCCAGAACAGAATTTTCCGCCCTTGGAAGAAAAGTTTGCAATATCTTTTTACAAATCACATGATAAATATTACTACCATCCTGATAGAATAATCCAAGTTCAACCAATTTGTTTTGTATAGGTTGAAGCGACATCTTTTGAGTTGAAACTTGATTTTTGAATGATGAGTGGGGGTAGTTTTTAAATCGTATTCTCAAGTACACACCTTTTTTATATAAATAAAAGGATTGAAAAATAAAACGAGCGGAAAAAAAGTGATTTAAATATAAGTGGGTTACAGAAGTAGTGATCGACAGTTTATTGCGAGGTTCCAGGATGTTATGGCGATCTCAATAAATCCAAACAATTATGTACGCCTTAATCTTTGTTCCATAGAAGAATTCTTTGATTCAATGTTCAAATTCTGAAAGTTTGAAAGGATAATTTTTATGTTAACGATTTAAAGATTGGATCTTTGTCCTTATAAACTGAAGATTACAATCGATGAGACTAAATTAAAATAACTGAACATATTAACAACAGTTTTTAATTTTATAAAACTGTGGTTGAGATAAATAATATATAGTTAGGAAAGTTGTTTGCGAAGAGTATGTGTGTTATCACGTGACATTTATAACAGAATCGTTTAGTATTTACTCACGGTTAAAGAAGCTTATTTATTGTCGATCTAAATAAATATATGCTGTAAATGTCTAAATAGATAGCTTAGATAGAAAAGGTTAATCAGTTTTTCCTTTTGATATCCAAAAATGTATAAGAAGCTACAATCTATTTTTATAGAATCACAAGAATACAGTTTATTCTAGTGACTTGATGATGAGATAAAATACGCGAATAATCTTAATATTAGATGATAATGATTATGCATTACATGTTCATAAAAAGATGTAGAATTTAAATAATCATTTAAATAATCATTTCTATATTATTATTCATTTATGGGCTATTTTTTCTCGGACGTACAGTATTACAGTATTATATTTGGGAAAGTTTTGAAAGGGTCAAAAGTTTGTCAAACGTAACTTATACAAATATTACATATGAAATTCCCACACGAAGAACGATTCCGATAGTAGAATTTAATAATAAAGAAATTAAATTGTCACTTACAATTATTATCACATACAAAAATGTGTAACAAATAATATAGATTGATAATCATTTTTTTGAGAGACAATAATAATTTGTGAAAACTTGGAAAAATACCAGTTGTATAAATGAAAATAAACTAACCAATTTCGGGTCCCATTTGTCAACGCCAAATTCAGTAAATCCACGAAAGAAATAAATAATGATGATCTATTTGATCACATTGATATGAATTTCGCACGCATCTTAAACGTTTTTTTACTTTAATTTAATAACACATTTGTACGTAAAAAGCGACGATTAAAGTTCCGTTGCATATCACAAATTATTCATTAACGTCATATCGATAAGTAATGTAACACAGTATTATCAAACAATCAATTGTTAGATATGGCGCTAAACTTCAATAGGATATTACCCAGTTTATTATCCGGTCTGATTGACAGGTTTTTAACCGGATTTTTTTTTGGTTTATGGCAAAATTTGTGGCAATGCCGCTTTTATTTTTCATAAAAGGAAAATTTCCATGATTTCTGGATACATTTTAACATTTGACATTTCAATACAGTTTCGCATAATTTCTTAGATTAAAAGACTCTTCATATTTATCTTCATTTGTTGATATCCCTGATGGAAGAATAAAGTTAGAAAAATATACTTTTTGCTGATGGCAAAAGCATACATCATTTCTCATAAACAAAAAATTTATATTTTTTTTTTCATTCCGTATTAATTTTTTTTTTATTACATATATGTTTGTACGTACATTGAAAATCAAATATTAGTAATACAGTATATTACGAGAACAATATGTAATTTCATCAGTAGACTTCTTTATAGTATCATAATTTTGTATCATTACAATTGTAATCTATCATTAAAATAGTAAAATGACATCTGAAAAATATAATTTCCTTTCTACGGATGATGAATGTAAGACATTTAAGTTCCAGCTCCACTTTCATTTTGGTGAGAAATATAATCATCATGTGACCGGATACTCCCGAAATCGTCTTGATTATTATTATTATTATCAATATCTTTATAGAAAGAATTCAAGGTTTTATGAGAATCTAACATCATTTCATTATCAGGAGTATAATGTTGTGAAAAATATGAAGGAATAATTTGTTTCAAGTTTTCTTCGAGACTTAATTTTTGATGTAAGGTTAACAAATATCTACATTTCAAATCTTTTACATCAAAATCCATTCCATAAATTTCTTTGTTCAATAAATTTACAATTAAAGAATGCGACAATAATTTACATGTAACGTAAAATATCGCTGTAGGTTCATTTGGATTTTGAAAAAAAAATTCGTAGTCATATTCATCATCACAAGAAATAAAATTTTCTAACCCTTGAAGACAATCTTGCGAAATCTTTTTAACAATTACATGATAAATATTATTATCATCTTGGTAGAATAATCCAAGTTCATTCAATAGGGTTTGCACAGGTTGAGGTGTCATCCTTTTAGTTGAAACTTTGCTTATAGAATCGAAAGTAGGTCCAAATAAGATAACGAATAAATGATGAAGAGTAAAGATAGGCTGAATATTCAATAAGATTAAATTGTAGCATGGATGCTAAATAAGTAAAAAACTTTTTAATGCACACTTTTTTGCAAACAAAAGAGTGTTGAAAAATAAACCCATTGAAAAAATTGATTTAAATATTAAATTTGAAAGTGATAATAAAGAATATGATCAACAGGCAGGCGCGAATTTATGTTGTGGGAAAAATGGAACAATAGTATAAGATAAACAATTTGGCGATCCAAAATAATTATGCATACCACCATTCTATGAGAGAATTCGATCGTCAAATTTTTTCAAACGGGGATAATTTTTATATCTCCGATTTAAAATTTGATTATTATAATTAAATTTCGTTCTTATTATCATTATTATCACATGAGGAAATGTTAATAACGTCATACTTACTTCCTTATCGTAACATCAGCTAGAAACTAATTAAGTAATTAATGGGGCTTATCGTAAAAATCATGTATTTTCAGTGAAAATTGTTTTCTAAAAATAAGAAGTAACACGAACCGCAAACTTCAATTAATAAAGACAAAAAAAGGTAACAGATAATCTTTATCAATCAATTTTCGATGGACCCTATAATCAACTATATTAATGTACGAAAATTACTATAATCGGCCTTTGCAGCAGTAGAAAAAAATTTTTTGATCTAATCTTATTTTAACTTATAACATATTTGGTTTATAAAAGTAAATTTACCTTTTGGGCAGTTTCCTCCTTTTTTCATATTAATATAAATACCCAATTATTAACGAAGCGAATCTATTTTGTAAAAAATTTTTTATAGTCGAGGTATCGGAAACAAGTCCATTGTTGCCGATTCGATAATTGAGAGTTCAGTGTAACCATTTAACGAAAGTATAGACATCACACCTCACTATACATGACAATTATAACAATACTAATGCGTTAAAGCCAGATTTCACTAATATTGATATTATTGTTTATGTAATTGATTTAAATTTATCACAAATCTTCTTTTAATCAAAGAACTATCGACTATATTATATATTTTATATGGTTTTATTTCTATGTAAATGCAGGCGTATGAGTATCATAAAGTACTGTAGTACTCAATAATCGGCACAAATTTGCGCTATCGATCCATCTACCAAATAGAGTTTGCTTATATAATTATTAAACCCTGATTAGTTCTCCAGAAAGGTCATAAGACCAATTTGTATTTTTAACTTTTTAATTTCCACTTTTAGTAATCAGAATGTAGTTCAAACTAATCCTCCTAAAGTCAAAGCCTTTTTACTAACTATTTTTATGCTGATTTTTTTTACTTGTGTAAAATGATTGTAAACTTTATTATTATTACTTACGGCATATCGAAATTTGCATTTAAACAAAATGGGTTAAATCAGAATTATCTTCTAATATTCAGCAAAAAAAAAAAAATTAATTTGTAGATCACAAACAGTAATCAAAATATGTCCGATATTTTTAATTCCTTAATAGGATACTGCTAGTTAATGAAAAAAAAATATACTTAAGCAACTAACAATTGAGTAATAAATTTTTCTTGTCAGTTTTCTGTTCAAGTTCCTTTTTTGCGGCTGCTGCACCATAGCTGATTAATTAAAGACTCAACCTTTCCGACCTTGGATCACGTGATACGAGACCGGTCCGACCGACGGTTCTATGCATAAACCAAATTTTTATTAAACTTGATTTTATTTATTATTTATTATTCATTATTACTATTTTATTATTTTATTTTATCTTTTTTTACATCCAGAGTCACTATAAATTTTCTATTGAAATAATAAAAAAAATATTTAGTGAAAATATTTAGTTATCGGCAGAAATTTGGGCTAATATTCGAAATACTGTATAAGACATAATTTTATTTATTGTTAATTTGTTAATATATTTATCTTCACAATAATGAATTAAAAAATTTTTTTTAAGGGGTGGTTATTCTACTACGTTAATAAATAAACAATTTCATATATATTATTATTACGATCTTATAATTCAACGTATAATAATGATACTATTATATTGTTCTTGTTAAGCTTAAAATTAAGCTATATGTATAAAATTATATTAATTGAAGGTCTAATTAAAATGGATCAACGTATAGGTAAATAAGTATTGCTAATCCTAGCGCATACACTTAGATACAAATAATAGGATAGCAGATTAACAACACTAACAAACTCAAAGTTAAAGTGTATATTTAAGACCTTTAATATAAACTTTATTCCATCTATCGCTCTCTTTAACATGCTTCTACATATTGACTATATTAACATTCGAAACATTGATCTGCGGTCACGTGGAAAATCGGAATTTTAGTCATCAATCGGTAAAATTTCGCAACGGAAACACTATGAAAAAAATGTGATTACTACAAATCTACAATATTTTTTTCCAAATGGCTTTTTGCAACTAGAGGAAATGATATGAAATTTTTCCATTTATACCAGTCGAACCTCTTGTTGTTAATGATGTTTCCCAACAACTTCGTCAAAAACAATCTTATTGAAAATTTAATAATAAAAAATTTACACCTATCCCTTCCTCGTCCAAAACCTACTTATGAAGAGAACGTATAATTAAAGCTCTAAACGATCTAAACTTCTTTTTTGGGCCAGTCGGTAATCCAACTATATACCTTTAAGTGCTGCTACGGGTTGATCAATTTTATCAACAGTTAAAATTCCAATATACAGTTTCACTATGATGATCCTTCGAGCTTTAAAATTATTCTCAATAGCAATGTCCAATTCTGAATTTTTATAAAAACACTTGAAATATTTTATGTAATTGTAGGCAAAGAATAAAAATATCCGCCAAATAATTCAATATATTTTAAAGTAAACGAAACCTTCTATAAATATCAGTAAACGATCAAGATTTTACACTGCTGGGGATACTCCAAATTATTTGAATGTATAGGTTCTTCATGTCTTACACGTTAACATTACTGTAAATTCGAAATTAGGCAATTAACTTTGACGGATTATCGTGAGTTAATATTGACGATTATTCTCAAAGCGTCTTTTTAGTGAATATTCTAATGCTTATAACAATTGTAATATCTTTGTACTGTATCTCTTCATAAATAGGTTTTCAACGAGGGAAAAAAGATGAAAATTTTTTATTGATCATTCATCTTCAATATTATTAAATTTGAATAAGTTGTTGAGAGACACAATCAGCAACGAGGATCAACAGGTAAAAATAAAATAATTTCATATCATCTCCTTTAGTTGCGGGTTTTTGATATGATATACGCCATCTTTAAGTAATTAATTTGGTTACGTGCTCGAACAAATTTAATTTTTTATAAACTTTGTTGATACTAAAAGGTATTGCTGCTGACAAGCTTTACAGTGTTTAATAATAATTTGCATAATTTCGCAAGATTTAATCTGCTCGAGCGACAAATAATATATTACTCAAAGTAATAATAAGTTTCATGAAAAAGTATATGTATATTTATTTTATAGGATCATGGGTTTTCGAAATTTTTACGTGGCGCAGATAGATTTAAAAATCAGAAAAAAAGTCGCAAATTTGTAGTATTTATTAAAAAATTAAGTTGACTCAGCGATAACCGAGGTACAACATCTCAGCCTCAATATAATACGTTTAAGATTTTACATAAACTGTAATTCATTACTATATCTACTCTTTTGATTTATTGGTATAAAATCATGCATTAATAAAACGAAGCGATTATTTTTTTAGAAAAAAAGTGTGTTTATTTCTCTCCTATTTTTTAATTGGTTAACTCTCGGTCAAAAACCTTTGAACACGATGAAAATCATTTAATTTAATCATGGAATATTGGAATATTACACAGCATTTTCATACAACATGCAATCACTTCTTTCTCTTTATGTTACATAATTAGCCGATATTATTTCTGAATCAGATAATACTTATTTAAATTACTCAAACAGAGGTTCTTCCGATCATTATAATTACTGGAAAAGGAAATACAAATGCTATAATGAAATGACCTTTAATCGAACCTTCTTTTTTTTCTAATTCTAAATTCGTATATTTTGTAAATAAACCTGATGATAATACTTTATTTTACGTTTGAACAAATTTATATAAATATATATTTATTTATTTATTTCAATACTCTATATGTCAATTTATTTTTGCAACGATATACTTTTAAGGCAAAGTCAATAACGCGCTCTATACTGTATCTGTTAAATCTATCACATGCTTCTAAAAAAGAGTTTAACCCTAATATGGTATCATAATGAGGTTATATAGAGTTAGATTACCATCGATCAATTCCAAAATATACTTTCTATTTATGTGACTTGTATAAACATGTTTTAAATTCTACTTCATTCAATTTTTTTTTTTTTTCTTTTTTTGTTTATTACAAAAATATCTGAATCCATTCGGGTTGGAACATTTACATAAAATACAATATCACTTGTTTAAATATAAATATATTTACTATAATCATTATTTATTTTCCTTTATCATACATAAACTAGTAAAATCAAAGGAAAGTGTACAATTGAAAGGCTTAGTTTGTAAATTGTTAATTGTCAGACATTTTTTATTTTAGATTATAAATTATTATAAAATTAAATTATATTAATTTATCACGTGATATACTGTATTGTGGAGCATTTTTATTGGTTGATGGATTTTCCACTCAGGTGACCCGCCCGGGATATTTTTTTTTATGTGTCGCCTTATTATTCCTCTAATTTATGGAAGTTAGTTTAATATATACATCATGCTGATCCGATTATGTTGATCAACTGCGATGATTGTGAAGAAAGATAAAGAAATCCGACAAGGTTTCATATGAGAACATAATAAGAAAAAATAAAAATTAGATATAGAGCTTCGTACAAAAGCTATTAATATACATTTTTGTATATCCAAATGATCACTTTTGTATATACTTTTTGTGCTTACGGCGGCCATAGTATATATTCCTTCGTTACACTTCGGACTAAAAAAAGAAATAACTTTATAAATCCTCAACATTTCTTGCTCATAAAATTTAAAATCCGATACCTAATTTAAATTAAATTATTAAGTCAAGAAATTTCTTCTCCAATTCGTCAAATTAGAACCACTATATATTATAAAAAATGAATTTTATAATTATTAAATGTTATGAAACGGGAATGTTTTGTATATTTGTATATTTAGGAAAGATATCAACAACTACAAATACTAAGCGGTAGGTTTGATGACATTGTATATTGTTTTTGAATTAGTGAGTTATTTTATCATTTCTCTGTGAATGAAATTTAGGTCTGATGATATTATAACTTAGTTTGGATTACCCTACTAGCTATTTATGTCAAATAACTCGAACAAAAATGTCAAGAATAAGTCTAAGGTAATTCCAAAAAAAATTTTTTTCTTATTTTTAATCATTGTTTAAATGAATTAAAAAATATAAGCGATGGTATTAAAAATTTCTCTTTCAACATAAATTCATACTCATAGTAGGCGTTAACTCAAATAAAAATCACATTGATACTTATTATATTTTAATCAATAAAATTTTCCTAGAATATATTCATTATATTCAAGTTTTCATTTGGCTATTAATTACGGCCGATTACGGTATGAATTAGTACAAAATTGGTCATTTGGATTTGATTGTTGGATTTGGATTGGATTTGTGCTTTGTGTGGATCGTGTGACATAACATATTGTACAAAGGAAATAAATTTATATACATGATAGATTCTAATAGGTGGAATGGTTTAGGCTAAAAGTATAAAGGTCATAACATATACTTCTTTCCTCTATTAGTTGTAGTTCTTTCAGACCTTATTTAAATTCAAGTCTAATATTTCCATTAAGAACATTATCTCTCAACATAAGGATCGCCTACCTGATTGGGAAATTCATTTGAAACGCTCTCGCAAATGAAATATGGTATGGTGGTTCGGTTCAACCCAGTTCAATCCAACTGAATATGTAAATACGCCATATAAGTCTATTCATAGACAGTGCTTTTCCAAAAAAGAAATATTTATGGTTTATTAATTCATTTTAAAAAGACATTTAAGCCAAATTGGTCTTAGTTCTTGTGACACATTCGGGGATTTTCTCCGTAAACATGACGAAAACAATTAAAATACTTAACATTGTTAGCATTATTGATTCATATTTGGTAGTAAAGATTCATTCATCCTTTAAAAATGGTTATTATCAATCCACTTAAATTCATATTTGTAAATTATCTGCTTTCCTAAATGGTATTTTTCTTACCAGTATTATTCTACCAAAAATGTTAAAGGATTTAAAATCTAGATTCTGATTTAAGCCTCAATGTGGCTTCAATTAGAAACTCATTGGATGTTATTAAATTAAATAATCGATATTTTTGTCACTATTTTAGATATTCAATATTCAATGCAATCGTTGGAGTATTTAATGACTCCTTGACGACCGTGTAAAAAAATGGCCTAGCTTCAAGATGGACTTGAATGAGCGACCTCCAACATACTACGGAAATTGTTTGGACTGTAAAACACAACGTACTACAATTTCATGGTGTAAGAATTGTGAGATTGCTTTTTTGAAGGAAAATTTCCCCAATTGGACCAGCGGAAGTTCTATAATAGATGAGTTCATTAGATATACTCAGCTTAATGCGACCAAAAGCATGGATTACCTTGAATGGATCGATTTTGATAAATTCGACTTGGTCAAAAATATTAATAAAAGGGGTGCTTTTAGCTCAATATATTCGGCAATTTGGCTTGAAGGACCAAGATGGAATCTGGATGAGGAGGCTGAAGTATGGACACGTAATGGACCGATTAAGGTTATTCTAAAACGATTGGATAATTCTCAGTACATGAGTCAAGAATTTGTAAATCAAGTAAGTTTTTTTGTTATAAACAAACAATGTACTAGTGATTAGCAATTTTACTATTTTTGGTTTAAAATTCACCATCGATAAGTTCAAATTAAATTATGGTAATTAAAAGAGATCAAAAGTAATAAAGTACAGTAACTGCGGTAGTGTTACAATAGAATTGACAATAATATGTCTAAATCTGGTATACTCATTTATTTATCTGAAAAAATATGTAAAATATGTTCGAGCAGATGAACTGTGACAAATCATCGGTTTTGGTCACTTCTCAGTCCTGTTTATTTGTAAATTCATAGTCCAACTTATTATTGTTCAGTCGGTTAGCCCTATAAAAAATTTTTCAGAAAAATGATCACGTGTCTGAGTTTCTTCGGAATAAAACTAAAAAAATGATCATTTACCGGAGTTTTTCCAGAATTTTTTTTATAGGGTAGGGCTATGTGGGTTATATTTTTTTATTTTTGATTCTTTATTGGATTTAATTTTTATTTACCACGTTAGTCCTTCAGACTGAACTATGTCGGACTTATTAGATGGGATATTGGTCGAAGACCGATGTCTTTACTAGGAACCGAGAAATGTATAAAATATATAAAAAATTAATAGCGTCAAAATTATATATAGGTTCTTCCAATGTCTGCCGATATTGTTTATTTATATATTGCCGGGTTCCTTTTTACTAACGTAAAATCACGAATAAATCTCAAACTTTTATAGTAATAATTAAATGATGTTATACTTAATAATATTGAATTTATTTTTCATATTTAAAAAAAGTTATATAGATATCACAAATGCTTACAAAATGGAGCACTAGCAGATTGTTTTGGCATAACCAAAGATCCAACATCCAACTATATGTTCGTTATAAGATATTATGAAAATGGGGATTTGTACTCGTATCTTGAAGAATCTATGGAGATCCTTTGCTGGAGAGATATTGTAGACATATTATGGTCAATATCAACAGGACTTGAATCTATTCATGAACATGATTTAGTTCATGGCTATTTACATGGAGGAAACATATTAATTGAAAGCGAAATGAATTCAGTTGATGCTAAAATAGCGGATACTGGATTACATGGGCCTGTTGATAAACAAGTTTCATCTGAACAGATTTATGGCGTAATACCTTTCGTTGCCCCAGAAGTCCTTGATGGAAGTGCAATATCCAAAGAATCCGATATTTACAGCTTCGGCATGATCATGTGGATGTTATCAGCCGGTATACGACCATACAATGACAGACCTCATGATAAGCAACTCATTCAAGAGATCTGCTCAGGATTAAGACCAAATGAAATTAATGGGACACCGCCCGTTTTTTCTAGATTAATGTTACAATGTTTAAATGCCAATCCATTAAATAGACCAACAGCATCCCAAATTTGCGAGTGTTTAGGAAATTGGGTTACAGCAATTTGTGATAGTACTGATCCATCTGAGTTATTAAAACAATTTGATACTGCTGAGGATATTAAATTCGCAAGCTTGGAAAATTTTATTCATAATAACGTACCATCTCATGAAAAAGCCATCTATATCAGTCGTCCATTAAATTCCCTTAATACTACAGAACCTCCTACTATACCTGAAAAAAATTAATAAGAAACGATTAATTATCACTGTATATGTTTTATGATTAGTACTATGTACATTAAGTTCAATATAAGATTAATATAAGATATTATTTTACTAGAAATAGTATTAGTTAGAACCTTATTTCTTATAAACTTACGAGCTCTTTTTTAACTTAAAAAATTAAATTTTAAATTCGATTAATTAATACTATGCATTATCATTAAAAAACATAAGATAGCAATGCAACCTATACTAGAGTATCTTGCCCTAACAATAATAAATTATAAGGGGATTAAGGACATTAAGAAAGAAAATTTTTAAGTTTTTTAGATAAGGTCTCGTGAAATAGTAGTATTTAATTTTTCATATAACGTATGACAAGGTTTTAGTTTGAATTAAGTTAAGTAGTATTCAATATTTATCAAGAATGATTTTATAAAGATTTTATATTTATGCATTAAAAATCAAGAAACTTATGTTTAACAATTTAAATTAAAGATTTATATAAAACTACAATTTATTTACATGAAATTATTTTAAATTCTTTTTACCTATAAGAAATGAAGAAATTCAATAAAAACAAAATTTTATTTTGCTGATTTCTGATTATTATTTGTAAAAATTATTATTAATTAGATATTTATACAAGTGCCGCCCATTATAACGACACTCTTCAGGCAATTAGTTCCTTTTCTAGATGAAGGTGGGTGGGTGGATTGAGGAGTAGCCAGTATAGCGCTAGTATGCTTGATTTTGGAAGCTCATCTTTTACTGCGGCAGTCGGTCCTGTGATAAGATAAGACTGGTTGGTGGTTGATTACGGTACGGTATAGTACTATTCGTAATTCATATCGACTGATTGGAAAAATTAAGCCAATTAATATTTAAGCTCAGTTGATGGTTCATTATGTAACTGATGGGTTACTTATTGCCATTAGCATATAAAATTATGGGGGGCTTTTCTGATCAGCCGATATGTTTTATGGGCGAAGCATAGTACACTTCTTAGGAAGTTCCATGTGGTACTAGAGACGTAGTACTTTATTAATATAAAGTACAACAGCAATATTACGAAATGAACATAGAATATGTGCTTTTATCTACTTAAAAGTATTTATTCACATGATTTCAAATATGGTAATAATTCTTATTAATATCATAATTTTACAAATAAAAATTTTGAGGAATAGGTAATTATAAGTAAAATTATTTTGAATGAATTTTTTTTTTTACAATTTCTAATTCTCTTATAAGTTAAAAAGGATTAAAATAATTTCATCTAGAAAATTGTGGCTTTTACATAAACTTTAACTTAAACATAATTTTCTTGGTTTTTAATGCATAAATATAAATCCTTAACAAAAAATTATTCTTAATAAATATAAAATTCTTAACTTAATTCAAACTAAAATCTTATCATACGTTACATATGACAAACTAAATACTATTTTACGAGATCTTATCTAAGAAACTTAAAATTTTCTTTCGAAATTTCCTTAGTCCTCTTATAATTTATTTCTGTTAGAGGACCATAACATATTATCTTATCTATACTCTATAGGTTCAGTTACTATATATTATCTTATGTTCTTTAATAAAGTTTAATTTTTTAAATTAAAAATAAATCGTAAATAAATCGTAAGTTTATAAAGAAAACTTTCATTTAAAATTTAGATATAAGGTTCTACATGCATTTCTTCTAATTAAATATTTCTAGTAAAATAATATCTTATATTAATCTTATATTGAACTTAATGTACATAGTACTAATCATAAAACATATACAGTGATAATTAATCGTTTCTTATTAATTTTTTTCAGGTATAGTAGGAGGTTCTGTAGTATTAAGGGAATTTAATGGACGACTGATATAGATGGCTTTTTCATGAGATGGTACGTTATTATGAATAAAATTTTCCAAGCTTGCGAATTTAATATCCTCAGCAGTATCAAATTGTTTTAATAACTCAGATGGATCAGTACTATCACAAATTGCTGTAAACCAATTTCCTAAACACTCGCAAATTTGGGATGCTGTTGGTCTATTTAATGGATTGGCATTTAAACATTGTAAATTAATGTATAAAAAACAGGCGGTGTCCCATCAATTACATTTGGTCTTAATCCTGAGCAGATCTCCTGAATGAGTTGCTTATCATGAGGTCTGTCTTTGTATGGACGTATACCAGCTGATAACATCCACATGATCATACCGAAGCTGTAAATATCGGATTCTTTGGATATTGCATTTCCATCAAGAACTTCTGGAGCAACGAAAGGTATTACGCCATAAATCTGTTCAGATGAAATTTGTTTATCAACAGGCCCATGTAATCCAGTATCCGCTATTGCTACTATTTTAGTATCTGAATCCATTTCGCTTTCAATTAATATGTTTCCGCCATGTAAATAGCCATGAACTAAATCATGTTCATGAATAGATTCAAGTCCCGCTGATATTGACCATAATATTTCTACAATATCTCTCCAGCAAAGAAGCTCCATAGATTCTTCAAGGTATGAGTACAAATCCCCATTTTCATAATATCTCATAACGAACATATAGTTGGATGTTGGATCTTTGGTTATGCCAAAACAAACTGCTAGTGCTCCATTTTGTAAGCATTTGTGATACCTATATAACTTTTTTAAATAAATATGAAAAATAAATTCAATATTATTAAATTTAACATTGTTCAATTATTACTATAGAAGTTTGAGATTTATACGTGATTTTACGTTAGTAAAAAGGAACCCGGCAATATATAAATAAACAATATCGGCAGACATTGGAAGAACCTATATATAATTTTGACGCTATTAATTTTTTATATATTTTATACATTTCTCGGTTCCTAGTAAAGACATCGGTCTTCGACCAATATCTCATCTAATAAGTCTGATATAGTTCAGTATGAAGGACTAATGTGGTAAATAAAAGTTTGTCTTCATCCAATAATGAACTAATAATAAAAATATAACCCACATTAGTCTAACCGACTGAATAAGTTGGACTATGAATTTACAAATATACAGGACTAAGAAGTGACCAAAACCGATGATTTGTCACAATTCATCTGCTCGAGCATATTTTACATATTTTTTCAGATAAATAAATGAGTATACCAGATTTAGACATATTATTGTCAATTCTATTGTAACACTACCGCAGTTACTATACTTTATTACCTTTAGATCTCTTTTAATTACCATAATTTAATTTGAACTTATCGATGGTGAATTTTAAACCAAAAATAGTAAAATTGCTAATCGCTAGTACATTGTTTGTTTATAACAAAAAAACTTACTTGATTTACAAATTCTTGACTCATGTACTGAGAATTATCCAATCGTTTTAGAATAACCTTAATCGGTCCATTACGTGTCCATACTTCAGCCTCCTCATCCAGATTCCATNTGGAATCTGGATGAGGAGGCTGAAGTATGGACACGTAATGGACCGATTAAGGTTATTCTAAAACGATTGGATAATTCTCAGTACATGAGTCAAGAATTTGTAAATCAAGTAAGTTTTTTTGTTATAAACAAACAATGTACTAGTGATTAGCAATTTTACTATTTTTGGTTTAAAATTCACCATCGATAAGTTCAAATTAAATTATGGTAATTAAAAGAGATCAAAAGTAATAAAGTACAGTAACTGCGGTAGTGTTACAATAGAATTGACAATAATATGTCTAAATCTGGTATACTCATTTATTTATCTGAAAAAATATGTAAAATATGTTCGAGCAGATGAACTGTGACAAATCATCGGTTTTGGTCACTTCTCAGTCCTGTTTATTTGTAAATTCATAGTCCAACTTATTATTGTTCAGTCGGTTAGCCCTATAAAAAATTTTTCAGAAAAATGATCACGTGTCTGAGTTTCTTCGGAATAAAACTAAAAAAATGATCATTTACCGGAGTTTTTCCAGAATTTTTTTTATAGGGTAGGGCTATGTGGGTTATATTTTTTTATTTTTGATTCTTTATTGGATTTAATTTTTATTTACCACGTTAGTCCTTCAGACTGAACTATGTCGGACTTATTAGATGGGATATTGGTCGAAGACCGATATTTTTACCTGGAACCGAGCAATATATAAAATATATAAAAAGTAATAGCGTTAAGATTATATATAGGTTCGGGCAGTGAGTGCCGATCTTGTCTATTTATATATTGCCGGGTTCCTTTTTACTAACGTAAAATCACGAATAAATCTCAAACTTTTATAGTAATAATTAAATGATGTTATACTTAATAATATTGAATTTATTTTTCATATTTAAAAAAAGTTATATAGATATCACAAATGCTTACAAAATGGAGCACTAGCAGATTGTTTTGGCATAACCAAAGATCCAACATCCAACTATATGTTCGTTATAAGATATTATGAAAATGGGGATTTGTACTCGTATCTTGAAGAATCTATGGAGATCCTTTGCTGGAGAGATATTGTAGACATATTATGGTCAATATCAACAGGACTTGAATCTATTCATGAACATGATTTAGTTCATGGCTATTTACATGGAGGAAACATATTAATTGAAAGCGAAATGAATTCAGTTGATGCTAAAATAGCGGATACTGGATTACATGGGCCTGTTGATAAACAAGTTTCATCTGAACAGATTTATGGCGTAATACCTTTCGTTGCCCCAGAAGTCCTTGATGGAAGTGCAATATCCAAAGAATCCGATATTTACAGCTTCGGCATGATCATGTGGATGTTATCAGCCGGTATACGACCATACAATGACAGACCTCATGATAAGCAACTCATTCAAGAGATCTGCTCAGGATTAAGACCAAATGAAATTAATGGGACACCGCCCGTTTTTTCTAGATTAATGTTACAATGTTTAAATGCCAATCCATTAAATAGACCAACAGCATCCCAAATTTGCGAGTGTTTAGGAAATTGGGTTACAGCAATTTGTGATAGTACTGATCCATCTGAGTTATTAAAACAATTTGATACTGCTGAGGATATTAAATTCGCAAGCTTGGAAAATTTTATTCATAATAACGTACCATCTCATGAAAAAGCCATCTATATTAGTCGTCCATTAAATTCCATTAATATGGAATCTCCTGTACTTGGAAAGATTTAATAAGAAATGACTAATTATCATTATATGTTTTATGATTATGTATATTAGAAGTTTAATAAGATTCAGTTAGTATAAGATATTATTTTACTAGAAATATTTAATTAGAAGAAATGCATGTAGAACCTTATATCTAAATTTTAAATGAAAGTTTTCTTTATAAACTTACGATTTATTTACGATTTATTTTTAATTTAAAAAATTAAACTTTATTAAAGAACATAAGATAATATATAGTAACTGAACCTATAGAGTATAGATAAGATAATATGTTATGGTCCTCTAACAGAAATAAATTATAAGAGGACTAAGGAAATTTCGAAAGAAAATTTTAAGTTTCTTAGATAAGATCTCGTAAAATAGTATTTAGTTTGTCATATGTAACGTATGATAAGATTTTAGTTTGAATTAAGTTAAGAATTTTATATTTATTAAGAATAATTTTTTGTTAAGGATTTATATTTATGCATTAAAAACCAAGAAAATTATGTTTAAGTTAAAGTTTATGTAAAAGCCACAATTTTCTAGATGAAATTATTTTAATCCTTTTTAACTTATAAGAGAATTAGAAATTGTAAAAAAAAAAATTCATTCAAAATAATTTTACTTATAATTACCTATTCCTCAAAATTTTTATTTGTAAAATTATGATATTAATAAGAATTATTACCATATTTGAAATCATGTGAATAAATACTTTTAAGTAGATAAAAGCACATATTCTATGTTCATTTCGTAATATTGCTGTTGTACTTTATATTAATAAAGTACTACGTCTCTAGTACCACATGGAACTTCCTAAGAAGTGTACTATGCTTCGCCCATAAAACATATCGGCTGATCAGAAAAGCCCCCCATAATTTTATATGCTAATGGCAATAAGTAACCCATCAGTTACATAATGAACCATCAACTGAGCTTAAATATTAATTGGCTTAATTTTTCCAATCAGTCGATATGAATTACGAATAGTACTATACCGTACCGTAATCAACCACCAACCAGTCTTATCTTATCACAGGACCGACTGCCGCAGTAAAAGATGAGCTTCCAAAATCAAGCATACTAGCGCTATACTGGCTACTCCTCAATCCACCCACCCACCTTCATCTAGAAAAGGAACTAATTGCCTGAAGAGTGTCGTTATAATGGGCGGCACTTGTATAAATATCTAATTAATAATAATTTTTACAAATAATAATCAGAAATCAGCAAAATAAAATTTTGTTTTTATTGAATTTCTTCATTTCTTATAGGTAAAAAGAATTTAAAATAATTTCATGTAAATAAATTGTAGTTTTATATAAATCTTTAATTTAAATTGTTAAACATAAGTTTCTTGATTTTTAATGCATAAATATAAAATCTTTATAAAATCATTCTTGATAAATATTGAATACTACTTAACTTAATTCAAACTAAAACCTTGTCATACGTTATATGAAAAATTAAATACTACTATTTCACGAGACCTTATCTAAAAAACTTAAAAATTTTCTTTCTTAATGTCCTTAATCCCCTTATAATTTATTATTGTTAGGGCAAGATACTCTAGTATAGGTTGCATTGCTATCTTATGTTTTTTAATGATAATGCATAGTATTAATTAATCGAATTTAAAATTTAATTTTTTAAGTTAAAAAAGAGCTCGTAAGTTTATAAGAAATAAGGTTCTAACTAATACTATTTCTAGTAAAATAATATCTTATATTAATCTTATATTGAACTTAATGTACATAGTACTAATCATAAAACATATACAGTGATAATTAATCGTTTCTTATTAATTTTTTTCAGGTATAGTAGGAGGTTCTGTAGTATTAAGGGAATTTAATGGACGACTGATATAGATGGCTTTTTCATGAGATGGTACGTTATTATGAATAAAATTTTCCAAGCTTGCGAATTTAATATCCTCAGCAGTATCAAATTGTTTTAATAACTCAGATGGATCAGTACTATCACAAATTGCTGTAAACCAATTTCCTAAACACTCGCAAATTTGGGATGCTGTTGGTCTATTTAATGGATTGGCATTTAAACATTGTAAATTAATGTATAAAAAACAGGCGGTGTCCCATCAATTACATTTGGTCTTAATCCTGAGCAGATCTCCTGAATGAGTTGCTTATCATGAGGTCTGTCTTTGTATGGACGTATACCAGCTGATAACATCCACATGATCATACCGAAGCTGTAAATATCGGATTCTTTGGATATTGCATTTCCATCAAGAACTTCTGGAGCAACGAAAGGTATTACGCCATAAATCTGTTCAGATGAAATTTGTTTATCAACAGGCCCATGTAATCCAGTATCCGCTATTGCTACTATTTTAGTATCTGAATCCATTTCGCTTTCAATTAATATGTTTCCGCCATGTAAATAGCCATGAACTAAATCATGTTCATGAATAGATTCAAGTCCCGCTGATATTGACCATAATATTTCTACAATATCTCTCCAGCAAAGAAGCTCCATAGATTCTTCAAGGTATGAGTACAAATCCCCATTTTCATAATATCTCATAACGAACATATAGTTGGATGTTGGATCTTTGGTTATGCCAAAACAAACTGCTAGTGCTCCATTTTGTAAGCATTTGTGATACCTATATAACTTTTTTAAATAAATATGAAAAATAAATTCAATATTATTAAATTTAACATTATTCAATTATTACTATAGAAGTTTGAGATTTATACGTGATTTTACGTTAGTAAAAAGGAACCCGGCAATATATAAATAAACAATATCGGCAGACATTGGAAGAACCTATATATAATTTTGACGCTATTAATTTTTTATATATTTTATACATTTCTCGGTTCCTAGTAAAGACATCGGTCTTCGACCAATATCTCATCTAATAAGTCTGATATAGTTCAGTATGAAGGACTAATGTGGTAAATAAAAGTTTGTCTTCATCCAATAATGAACTAATAATAAAAATATAACCCACATTAGTCTAACCGACTGAATAAGTTGGACTATGAATTTACAAATATACAGGACTAAGAAGTGACCAAAACCGATGATTTGTCACAATTCATCTGCTCGAGCATATTTTACATATTTTTTCAGATAAATAAATGAGTATACCAGATTTAGACATATTATTGTCAATTCTATTGTAACACTACCGCAGTTACTATACTTTATTACCTTTAGATCTCTTTTAATTACCATAATTTAATTTGAACTTATCGATGGTGAATTTTAAACCAAAAATAGTAAAATTGCTAATCGCTAGTACATTGTTTGTTTATAACAAAAAAACTTACTTGATTTACAAATTCTTGACTCATGTACTGAGAATTATCCAATCGTTTTAGAATAACCTTAATCGGTCCATTACGTGTCCATACTTCAGCCTCCTCATCCAGATTCCAACTTGGTCCTTCAAGCCAAATTGCCGAATATATTGAGCTAAAAGCACCCCTTTTATTAATATTTTTGACCAAGTCGAATTTATCAAAATCGATCCATTCAAGGTAATCCATGCTTTTGGTCGCATTAAGCTGAGTATATCTAATGAACTCATCTATTATAGAACTTCCGCTGGTCCAATTAGGGAAATTTTCCTTCAAAAAAGCAATCTCACAATTCTTACACCATGAAATTGTAGTACGTTGTGTTTTACAGTCCAAACAATTTCCGTAGTATGTTGGAGGTCGCTCATTCAAGTCCATCTTGAAGCTAGGCCATTTTTTTACACGGTCGTCAAGGAGTCATTAAATACTCCAACGATTGCATTGAATATTGAATATCTAAAATAGTAACAAAAATATCGATTATTTAATTCAATAGCAACCAATGAGTTTCTATGAAGCCACATTGAGGCTCAAATCAGAAGCTAAATTTAAATTCTTTAACAAGTTTGGTAAGAAAAATACTATAATTAGGAAAGCAGATAATTTACAAATATGAATTTAAATGGCTCGACAATAACCATTTATAAAGGATGAATGAATCTTTACTACCAAATATGAATCAATAATGCCAACAATGTTAAGTATTTTAATTGTTTTCGTCATGTTTATGGCTGAATGTGTCACAAGAAGATCAATTTGGCCTAAACGAAAATTTCTTTTTTAAACTGAAAGGCGTATTTACATATTCAGTTTGGATTGAACCAACCATATTTCATTCGCGAGAGTCGTATCAAATGGATTACCCAAAAAGGCGATCAAGAGTGATACATAACTTACATAACGCATTTAGATTTGAAACATAAACACGATACTAACACGATCATGGAGTGATGGATTCTCAGTATCAACATATTACAAATTTTTATATAGATAAGGCGACGCAAAGTTATAAATTCGGTTTTCATATCCCGGCCGTGTCGGTAAATCACAAATTCAAAATTTTAATTTTTTTTTAAAAATAGTTTATATTTTATAATATCATGTGATAAGCGCATGTATTGCAGAGACGGACACATTCATCAGGAGATTATATGAGGCGAATATTAGCGTAAAGTTGTCAAATATGTATAATCTCTGGAAATTTATACTCCGTAAAAATCTATAAATATACAATTTTGCATAATTTACACTTAAACATAGTTAGGGGACTGCCAGAAATGACGTCATTTCCTAAGGGGGGGAGGGGGGTTAAGACCATGATGATGTTACACATCTTCCATTTTTAGACACTTGTAGTTAATATAATTCTAGCCAGAATTATGTTTTAATTTTACATTTCCTAAAATGAATGATGACATGGGGAGGGGGGGGGGCAAAAATCCTAAAATTTAAATTACGTCATTTCTGGCCATCCCCTTATTTAATAAGGAGTATCTTATAAAACTTCGAAATTACCTATTTATGAAAATTTTATGACACTTTTTATCTTGAAATAGCTTCTTAAATATATGATTTAAGTAATCTACACATAAAAACAATTTAAAAAAATATTTTGTTGATTTTGTATCTTAAAAAGTTTCATAAATTCTACATAAGTAGGTAGTTCCAGCAATCTACGCTTTAGAAATTTGCATAAATACATGACTTTGCATAACCCACGCGAAAATGTAACTTAAAATATTTTGAATAATTTTGTATTTAAAAAAGCTGCAAAAAATTTATACAAATAGATATACACTAAAAATTTATAAAAAAAATTATATAAATACATTTTTATTCTAAGATAAATATGAAATATAATATAATAATTAAAAAAAAAGAACAAATAGTGTAGTGGTCGGATAATGAGACTTAATATATTAATAGTTTATCTTGAGGTATTCGGTTCGATTCTTAGTGTAAGTAAAAAAAAATAAATAAAATGTGAGTTAAGTTCTATTCTTAGTGTAAGTAAAAAATAATAAAATGCAATCATTTTGACTTAGTGTAAGTAAAAAAAAATAATAAAACGTGAAAAATTTAAGAGAAAAATTTACTACACTATTTTTAACTATTAAAAAAACTACGTCAATTTTAAAATACACTATTTTATACTATTGAAAATTACTCTAAATTTTTCACACTCGTATATCGTCGCGAGTGGTGTAGATTTGCGTAGTTTTTCACACATGTAGATCTACGCTTATTTTATTCTCCTGATGTTGCTTTAAAGAAAATTTTTATTTTATTAAGGTCTGAAAGAACTACAACTAATAATTAGATTAGAGGAATGAAGTATATGTTAAGACCTTTAATTTTAGCCTAATATTAGAATCTATCATGCATATAAATTTATTACCCTTTGTAAAGTATGTCACACGATCCATTTTGTGAAACAAATCCAATTCAACTTAATCCAATCACATCCAAAATGAATTTATGCACCAATTTCTTAATCGGCCGTAATTAATAGCCAAATGAAAACTTGAATATAATGAATATATTCTAGAAAAAATTTATCAATGTAATTTTTATTTGCAAATTTATTAAGTTAAACGCCTACTAGAGTATGAATTTATGTTGAAAGAGAAATTTTTAATATCATCGCTTATATTTTATAATTTATTTAAACACGCTTGTATTTGTAGTTATTGATAACTTTCCTACTAAATATACAAATATACAAAACCGGCATTCCCGTTTCATAACATTTAATAATTATAAAAAAATTCTTTTTTTATAATATATAGTGGTTCTTAATTTGTCGAACTGGAGAAGCAATTCCTTGACTTAATAATTTAATTTAAATTAGGTATCAGATTTGAATCATATGAGCGAGAAATGTCGATGATTTATAAAATTATTTCTTTTTTTAGTCCGAAGTGTAACGAAGGACTATATACTATGCCCACCTTAATATATACAAAAGTGATAATATAAAAATGTACATTATTAACTGTTAATAGCTTTTGTATAATAATTAGTTCGAGTGTAACGAAGGACTATGCTGGTGTCTGTCGGCACGTGACGAAGTACATCAATAAACCCTTAAACATTTAATAACACTATGCAAAGGTCACACGACTGTCCGTCTTGCACGTGACTTAATAACGGTCGTTTCCTAGTACTAATTACAAAACCAAAAATTATCCGTTGTACATTTTGTCATATTCCCAGAAATTTTGATTTTTCACATTTGAAATTTCCTACGATGGTTTGTTGTTTTGCCATTATAATTTATTTGCAATATATAAATCAATTACATAACAATATTATATCCTTAAAAGAATTATTATTTGAATTATTTATTACACATGTATGTTAAAATTTTCAATAATTATAGAAACACGAATCACATTTATTTTTCCTCTTGTTTTTTTTTCACTTTAGTTCTTAAAATATAAAAATGAAACTTTTCACTTTTTGCGCTTTTTTATTTTCCGCAACGTCACTTTATATGTAATTGCGTACGATTATTGTTCTTTAACAAATCAATTCTTCCAGTACGAATGGCACATCCAATTTCAATAAAAATTATTGAAAACTTTTAGTTCAATACAAGTAGGTCATACTGTAGCATACTGTAGGTTAATAATCAGATTGGCAAAGTTTAAATCACGGGTAATAAGGACGGATTTTCCGCCAAAAGTTCTGTCTATAGAAAATGGGTAAACCTTTGTAATTTCAGGAAGGATAACATATATGTATATATTTAAGAATAACCTCTTTTTTAATCAACTCTGAGAAATTACGTAAATAATTTTTTTTACGAGTTATTACTAGGGATGGCAACGGTCGGTTATGGTCGGTTATGGTCGGTTATAGCAATTCAAATGGTCAGTTATGGTCGGTTAAAAATTGGTTAAACGGTCGGTTAAACGGTCGGTTATACCATTTTACTTACAGTAAATAATTGGTTAAATGGTCGGTTAAATGGTCGGTTAAATGGTCGGTTAAATGGTTAAAAATGGTCAGTCAAATGTTAAAACGGTTGGTAAATAGCGGTTAAACGGTCGGTTAAACGGTTATGATCATAACCGTTGCCATCCCTAGTTATCACGGCAGATGATACAATAATAAATATGACGCTAGGTTAGTAACAATTAAAGTTTACGTTCCTCATGCGAAAATTATCAGTTGTTGAGGTTAAATATAATTACTACACTCATCCGCAGAACTAACTATTAACAAATGTAACAACAGTATATTCGAATATACTTCAAGCTGATACGTAATTAGACTAGGAAATATATAGTAAAACTCAAAATTAGGTAATATAATACGAATTTTATGTAATAATTTTTAGGACCAATGATAATAATTAATAATTTGTAAAATCAAAGATTCAAAACAGAATGTCAGCTGGGTTCCATAAACCCCGGCTCCGAAAAAAGATTTGCATCCCTTATTATGCGATGATGGCCAACTCTTTCAATATCAAAGCACATATAATTAAAATCTGATCGTGATTCTCTATAGTTTATTTATTTATTACTTTAATTTAATGTAATTTTGGTAAGAACCAATTATAAAATTATATAAATAGTCCTTCAGATATTTATAAAATTGATACTATTGGTCCAAGAGGATCGTAAAAATGTTTATCATTCTTCTCTTCATCGTTTTTCTAATCGTCATTTTTCACAATCATTTTTTCCATCACCATTTAATATTTTGCGTCCTCTTACTATCTTTATTTTATTAGATTCATTCTTTTCTTCAATATGAAATTTTTTTAAGAAACCGATATTGTTCAAGCATTTCATATTATTCCTAGTAAAGGAGATCCAAATAACGTTCATATAAACAATCATTCAAGTGATAGTCGGTGGTGGCCACCGTAAGGAAGGTGAACCTCATCGAAGTCGTCGCTGGTGTTAAAAAAAAAAAAAAAAAAAATTTTTGTTATATAGACAGATCAATTTTGTTGGTCGAAATCATTCAAAATCCTGGCATCCATAATACCTCTGAAAATTCGCTCTCGCTCGAAATTTTAATATTCCAGAAATTTCACTATCACATTAGATTTGTGATTCTATTAATTAATTTAGTAATTGGATAAATAGTTTATTACGTCATTTATTTTATTTTTAATTATCAATTGCGGTATAGTAGTAAATAATAAAATAATAGTATATATCTTTATTTTTGAACAATTTTATTTATAAATAATAATAATCTAAATCGGGATAATAAATTTCAGGAATATTAAAAAGTTTGTGAATTTTGGGACTTGGAATTTCGGTATTACGTACAGATTGTCGGAAGATCAAGCTGATCTAAATATGTTATCATGCGTTAAACATATGGTCAGATCTATTACCTGATCGTAAAGCATAAGACTATTTGATCGAGATCCATTTTAAAATTATAACACGTTTTTTATTAAAAATAAAATTATTGCATGACATTGATTTTTTTTTTTAAATTTAACAAATCTAACACTTTTTTTTACAAATCAAGAGATTTTGTTATAAGACAAGTTATGTACTTACTATATATATGACAATCAATTTTGTTTGATTTTTAAAATACGATCGTAAATTTTTTTTTTATTTGTATGATGTCATGTCAAGTCAAACTAATTTCAAATGTCAGCTCTATTTCAATTTCCCAATTTATTGTATATACTATGTATTATTTTGGATAAGAAGAAACATTAGTCTGTGCGCACGTCCCTAATGTAAGGATCATAATATATATGTGGGATGATAATATATATGTGTAGAATAGCTTACACAAGAATTTCTTTAATATATTTTATATATTACAATAATTAATATATTTTACAATAATATATTTTATATGTTACAATAAATAATATATTTTATATATTACAATAATTAAATATATTTTATATATTACAATAATTATATTTTTATATATTACAATAATTATATTTTATATATTACAATAAATATATATTGATATTATATTCTAACAACTTTTTAAATACATACTTTTTTGAAATTAACACACATGATGATTAACCTTATTTAATCATTTAAATCCAAGTACTGTATTTATTATCCCCCTTCTTGACATCATTTTTATTATATATATTCGCATGATTTTTTTTTGGGAAAATTAAATTTGATGATCAGGGAATTAGTTACGTGATATTAATATTCATTTATCCATTCATGGAATAATTAATAAAGATAAGGTCATAATTTAAATTTTTGAATATAGCAAATTTCACAGACTAACTCGTGGAATTTATAATATGGGAGGAAGATCGTTTTACATATTTCAACGTTTATGCTTGGATCTTTATGAGGAAGGAAATTATTCTATGAAGGTATCATCTAATTCTTTGTCTTTATTGGTAACCAATTGTCCTTAGATACCACTACACGTCAATTCTGGTTTGCGAATCAGGTCATAAATACAAGATTGATGATGATGTTCATTTTACCGTATATCACGGCAATAGTGATAGTACCTCGCGTATAGTGCCTCGACCCGTATCCGGATCAATCCGGATTGATCCGGATTTTTTTTTTTTTCGGATATCCGGATTTTCACGGTTTTCATCCGGATTATAAACCGGATGAAAAATATCCGGTTTGACCCGGAATCCGGATGAAATTTTTATTATTTTTTTTTTATTAATAATAATTTTGCTGATCCATAAAGATCTATATCTAAATGATATTATGGCTTAATTATTTTTGCGCCTAATACCAATTTTTTTATTAAAATTTATTAAATTTATATTTGTTATATTAAACTTTTTAATACAGTAAGTTTAAGAAGATTTTTCAATTATAATTTATTTATTGAAGTTTGTATCAGATTTGTTTTAAATTTATACATTAACAAATAACAAATAATTTTAGATTTCACATTCAAAAGTTCAAAAGAAAAAAAACTTTATATTATTTTGTTGTATTGTTTTAAATGAAAAATTGTTCAATATTATAAATTTATATAATTATAACAACTTTTTTTAAAAATTAAAACTAGTGTTATATAATTTGATTCAAATGATTCTTTAATTTTTGAAAGAAGAAACAAATCCTTAAAAAATTGCCTTACTAACCCAACACATCTATTTATAGTAATCTTTAGCTGTATATAAAAATATCTTGTTTAAAATTTCATAATTAGTTAATTTACAAAGAAATGTTAAACAATAGTCTGAGACAATGCTGAAATAATATGAAATTGTTTTAAATAAAAATATTTAATGAAATTGGAATTATGTAAATTTCGTAGTCTTGGATAATTTTGGCCAAATTTGTAATTCTGGCCGAAATTAACATCACGTGACACCGGAAAAATAGTTTAGCCACCGGGCAAAAATTTTTTATCGGCTGGCATGAAAATTTAATGTTACACAATTTGTAATTCTGGCCGGCGTTATGAATTCTGGCCAGAATTATTGCCGACCATTTGTAAATCCAATCCGGTTTCCGGTTTCTATCCGGATTATCTGATCCGGATTCAAAATCCGGGTCAATCCGGATATAATCCGGATTATTTTTTTGTGTAATCCGGATGACGGTTTTCATCCGGGTCGAAGCACTACTCGCGTATCGGTGGTTTGAACCTGTACCCGTGGTATATCATGGATACTCCACGTAGAGGGGTACAAGAGTTTATATTGTGTAATATATATTTTACTAGTATATATTTTTGTAGTATCCAAGTATTTTAAAATAGAGGAAATTTTTTGAGAAGGGGATACTATATATGGATTCTGTGTGTAATGTATGTATGTAAAATCATAAAGTGTTTTTTAAGTTCTTCTTTTCATCTTTAACTATTCTTCAGAACGGTATTACCTACTAATTTACGGTAATTATAAATGAGTATTGCTAAATATCACCGCTGGTAATTATCACCTTACCAGAATTAGGGTAGAATTCTGGGCAGAATTAAAAATGTCATGAAACTCGGCCCATTAATATTTGCTAATGCAGGTGCGGTGAAAATCACCTGCGGTGAGATTTAGCAATGCCAATATACGAAATATACGAAATATTTGAGACAAAGTTCTTTTGATAAAAATAAAATCATATGTTAAGCACATATTAATATATTACAATTTATTATAAAAATAAAATAATAAATTAACTTAGTATACAAAAATTATACATTAAAATTAAATACATGAAAATCCATTACAAATTTTACATAAAATCAAATTATATGTAAAATCAAAAACAAAAAAAAATTTTACATAAAATCAAATTTAAATTAAATACAATAACAAAATAAATATATATTATATCATATTATATATATTATATATATAAATTTACAAAAAAATTTTTTTTTTTTTTTTTTTTTTTTAAAAAAAAAATTTTTTAACCGACTACTATTAACAATTTATATTACAATTAATGAATTTTTTGTGCGAAAAAACGTGTATAAGTAAGACTTAATTGTCGTTTTTCAACTTCTTGAATAAAATCGCTAAAAAGTTTACGATATTCTTGTTCAGTGAATTTAAATTTCCTTGTCATTATTACTGAATAAGATTCAAAACTCATACTGATATATTCAAGCATCTATTAAATTAATTAATAAAAATATTAAAAAAGGATTTTTTATATATATTAAAAATATATTATTTTATTACTTACCAGTTCACCAAAAGTATCACCCCAACTACCTACAGGAAGTATCCTATTTTCTATTGAAACTTTACCTAACCTTCCTGTCGAATCCATAAATCCTTTCAATTTAGCTGGTACGTTTAAACATATATTTTTAGCCATATAAAATTGTTTAACTAAAAATAAAGAAGATTAATTTGTTAAAACACGGGACACGGAACACGGGATACGGGACACGGGACACGGGATACGGGATACGGGTGAATTTAAATTTTAATGCGCCAACTTTTGCTTACCTTTATTCATTATTTCTTTTGTACGTGGACCTGAATTATTAAAGTTTAAACCATCCAATTCCAAAAATTCTACGTATCCTGAAGGTTTTAACACCCTCATTATTTCTTTATAATAAATAAGAAAAGAAATTTTAGATCATAAATCTCTTATTATTTTTGAGATATATTAAAAAACCTTGTACAAAAATTCGAACCTTTTATCACTTTCATCCATTGTTCTTCAGTAAATGCAGCGTGAAGTAATCGTTGATGTATAAAATCGAACGTGTTTGAAGGAAAAGGAAGTCCATAAAGCACATTACATTCAATAAAACCCGCATTCTGTGGTCTATCTTCTGTTGGAAATATTGGGGACATATCTATTCCGACAAAAGTACTTTGAGGATATTCTACTGCATTTTCAATTGTCCATTTTCCTGTTCCACACCTAACAAATAATGAATGAATAATTAAAATTAAATCCATTTTTTTAGAAGAAAACAAATAATTATAATTATTATTTATAATTACCCAATATCTAATACAGTAATTCCATCTTTTAATTGATCATGCATCGGAGAAGAATAATTACCATCAAATGCATGTTTAAGTAAACCATGAGATAATTCTAATCTATCAAGTTCAGTCTTATCATTTGGTAAAGAATATTTTGAAGTATCTGAATTATGAAACCTTCTACCACTAACATATCTGAAATTATCAAGAATATCTTCAAACCCTTCATATTCTTCAAAACCAGCATATTTTAATAAAGATGAAGAAGATATTTTAAGAGGATCTTCTCTATTAAAATTATTTTTACGAATGGTGATAAATTTCATGATTAAAAAAATTGTTTATCTTTAATTTAATTTTTTGTTTCACCGTTTATATTTTATATATTTTGTCCTACAACACGGAGATAAAATTAAAGTTTTTTTTTTAAAAAAAAAAGCAGGAATTAATTTAATAAATTGATTAATAAAACTTTTTACATTTCGTTGGTAAAACTTCCTCGGTTCTTTTATATATAAAAATATTAATTCTCGATGGTACCCTAATTTAGAAATAACAATGTTTGTGTGGGGTAAATATACTAAGGGATTTCAACATTTTTTATCTCCGTGATCTTCCTTTTTAAGACTTTCAAGATTGACGAAAAAATAGTATGAAACTTAATGAAATATAACATAAGGAAATATAAGATCTTTAACATTTTAATTATCTTTTAAAAGAAAATATAAATGTAATTTTTCTTTTTATACAATAAAAATGATGTGTCGACAAATAATTATTAAAAAGAAACTCTATTTTTGTAAATTGCAGTAAAAAAAAAAAAAAAATGGAAACATTATGGGACCGAGTTACTTTTTGTTCTTCATGCTAATTTCATACGTATATTCAAAAAAACAAAGAATAACTGATTTTCCTATGTTCCTTGTATATTTCGTGGGAGCTACTTTAAACATTTGATTTCATATTAGTTTATGTTTCAAGTAATATTTTATTTCAAATCTTTGATATTCCAAAAAAAAAAAAAAAACAATTATTCCTAATCCGGTAATTTGTTGGAAGAAAAGGAAAGAAAAAATAAAAAAAAATAAAAAAATAATTGTTATAAAATTTTCGAACATTCGTTCGATTGATCTGCAGAGTCACACGTATAAGATATATAATATATACTGTATATATACATATATATAATATTTTAATTTAAAAAAACCCTTTTCATCTTGCGGAGATAAGTCGGACAAAAAAACTCAATTTTTTTTACTACCTGGTTATTTGAGTTTGAACCAAATTTCAATTTTTCACGAATTTGTATTAATTTTTGTAATCATTATGTTATTATATATGTACTATAACATAATTTAACATATAGTTTAACTTAAAATTAGCTTAAAATTTTTTTGAAATCCCGCCACTTTTTTAAAAATAATAAAACGTCATTATTTCAAAAATTGCCAAGAGAGATTGGGAAAATGAGGAAGTTCGTACGACATAAATAATGATATGATTTTAGTTTAGTTTAATTAAAAATTTTTTGAGATTTTTTTTTTTTTTTTTCAGCCAGAATTTATCATAATTTTGGTAAAAATTATACAAATTTCACGTGAATTTTTTGAGATCATCTCAAATCCATCCGGAAAAATATTATGAATTAAGAAAATCTCGGTAAAAGTTTATTTTTAGATTTTTTTTATTTCATTGATCATATACTTCATAGAATAACTAAACATGGTAATTACATCCGTGATCGGCGGAAATTAAAAACTAATTTAACCGAATTTATTAAATTAAAACTTTTAAAAGTTAAATTATCTGCTATTATTAAAATGGTGTGATACTCACCTGACCAACACTTTTTTTTTACTTTTTACTTAATTTCATTAATTGATGTGAATATATTTATTTTCATTGTTTCAATTGGAAAACTGCAGGTAATATTTTTACCAGGAATTTTCTTTTACTTCTTTTTTTTTATTCATTTACTTCAACAACATATATATATTTATATATATTTTTTGAAGTAATATCATGAGATTTTTTTTTTTTTTTTTTTTTTTTTTTTTTTTA